GACCGCAGGACCCCACTCCCTCCAGGGCTGTGCTCCGTGCCCTGGGGCTGCCCCAGCCGCTGCGTGAGCAGCTGCGTGAGAACCAGGCACAGGTCCCTGAAGGTCTCCCTGAAGCGAGCTTCAGGCTCATGTCACACATGAAGTTCTGTGTAGCGTCCGACAGGCCAGCCATCTCAGGGTCCTTCTCTGGGCTCCAGCGGGGGTGGGGATGGTGGGGGAGGCCCTACCAGCTGGGGGGCTCCATCTGCTTTTGGGAGCCCTGCTGAGACGTGCTTCTGGAGCCGGTGAGCGGGGGAGGCCAGGCAAGGCTCCGCGGGGCGTGTGGGCAGGACCCACCCGCAGCTGGCAGGACTCCGGTCGAGCGTGATTGGCAATCGGGTGAGTAGTAACTCCAGCTGGGGTCCTTCTGGGGCAGGGGCTGCGGACACCAGGTCTCACCCGCTGAACACCGCCTGCACATCCTTCTGGGGTGTGCCTGGGGTGAGGGCTCAGCCCTGAAATCTGCCTGTGCCCGGAGCATCCCAGAGGCCAGATCCACACGCCCACCCCACCCCCCGCCCCTCCCTGTGCCTGTGGCTGGGTCAGGGACCCCGGCACCGGGTGGGTGCCAGGGGGCCTGCAAGGAGGCTTCAGAGGCCAGCCCTGCTCCCCTACCCAGCTCCCCCTTCCCTCTCCCCAAGCCCCACCCCAACCCACTGGCCTACCCCACTCCCTGACCCGCTCCCTGCTCTACTCCCCCTTCCCCCTCCCCCACCTGCCCCGCTCCCTACCCAGCTCCCTCCAACCTGCCCCCCTCCCCTCTCCTTGGCCCCACAGGCCCCATTCCCCCCAACCTGCTCCCCTGCCATGCTTCTCCTCCCCCAGCACCCTCCCCTCCACTCCCTTGCCCTGCTCCACGCTCCCCCCAACCTGCTCCCTGGCCCACTCCCCTGCCCTCCTCTTGGGGACCCCACCCCTGGGCCAGATCCCTGCTTCCCACAGGGTACACTCGCCCAACGGGTTTTAACCATAAATGAAGATTCATTGGCGCAATGAACATTTTTATTAGACAAAATTAAGTTCTGATGCACATTATCTCTGTCAAGAGCAGAGGAAAGGAAAGACCTCTGTGCGCTCCCTGCCTCTCATCAGAAGCATCTGCATGTTTACAGCTCCGCCCAAAGCCCCGGCTGCTTATTAGGTTTGGTTACCAATGAACCGTTTTAAACAAACAACATGGATTTTTCTGAATTCGTGACAGGGCCAATTTACAATTGAATTAGTGGAAGAAGAGGGCCTGCTATTAAGTTTTATTAAATTCTATTTGCTTGTATCTTTGCCATTTGAACATGACAGTTGTTTAGAAAGAAAGAAAACCATCCCTGGCAGCCAGGCAGGGTGGAGCCGATCTGAGTACGAGCCTCTGGACCTGCCGCAGGGAAAGTGTGGGCCTTCAGCCAAGTCACTTCCGTCTTCTGAGCCTCTGCTTCCCCACCTATAAAATGGGCACAGAGGTTCTCAGCACTACCAGGCTTATTTCAAGGAGGACGTGGGATTGCAGTTTTAAACATATTTCTCCCCTCTTTCTCCTTCTTCCCAGAATGCTCACCAGCACTTTCCCAGGCAGGTGGGGAGAGGAGTTTGCATGGCTGGAGACCTTCTTCGCTCTGAAAAGAACCACCTGCGTCACTGGGCTGGGAAGATACTGTGTGTGGGGGGGAGCTGGGACAACGTAAACAGAGGGGTGCTGGTGTCCAGCAGCAGCTCTCTGTGAAGCGCGCCCTGGCTTGTGGTGCCGACCACTCCCACTGACGAGTATTTCCACTGTGGACCATTGCCAGCCACCAGCCTGCCATCCGGCGCACACCCTCACTTCCTCCCCGGGACGGACCATGGCTAGAGCGCAGGTGGTAATGACGTGATAATAAATAGCAAGTGGTGAGTTTTGACTATTTGTTACCTTTGTTTTCAGTGTAATTTTTAATTGTAGGTTCCTATAATTTACTTTTTAGTAATGCTGTATTTCACAACTGGTTCACAAAATTCCTGAAAATGTAAAAATTGACCCTTGCAAGTGGGTCATCTGTGCGGGGAAGTCCGTCTGCTCTGAGACGGGCCCTGGCTGCTAGCTTGCAGTGGGCAGACCCTTTCCTGCCTCCCTTCCCTGGCTGAGCCGGGGTGGGAAGCTGGGGGTCTCCGATGGCAGGGACGCCCCCACTGCTCCTTCTGTAGCTCCAGCCCCTCAAGTGGCCGCGGCTCCTGGGGTCCCTTCAGCTGCTGGAAGGCGAGTCCCTGGGATGCCCCAGTGCCCCCCTCAAAGCCTGGGCACTTCCATGACGCGATCCATCCCTTGCATTCAAAGCCCTGTTTGATGGATGGGACCCTCCCTGGCGCGGTGGGGTGGCCTCAACCACAGAGCCATGTTTCAAAAGCAGACAAAGAAGAAGAGTTACTGTGCTTTAAGGCCAAGAAAGCAAGAACAGGAGGTCAGAGGGCTTCAGGGGCTGGGTTCACTTGAGGACAGCCCGTGGACGGATGGTGGTGGGGGCCCAGGGGAGTGTGTGTCACCATGAGTTAGAACAGACAGGGATCTGCACCACTGGGGACACCAGCCCGCCACGGCCAGGGCCACGCCACGTTGTGACCGCAGAACTGCGCAGGACCGTGTCCACGGCGCCTCCACCTGGCGGGAGCTGCAGCGGCGTGGGGCTGGGGCTCTGGGGATTGAGTTGTGCCCCGGGGTTCCTGGGCGGTTCTTCGGGGAAAGGGCTGCTCGCGAGGCGGTAAGGGCTAGGAGAGCCACGTGACCCGCCCCTCATGAAGAGGGCGGCTTTGTCCCTGCTTATGGCCGACAGAGGGCCTCCGCCTCGCACCGGGACCTGACAGACAGCAGGCTCTCGGAAGGTGCCACCTTCCGCGAGGATGGGAGCTTGGTCCAGACGCCTCCGTTGTCCCTGAGGCTGTAGGGCTACAACCAGCGGCTTCTGTGGGACTGTCAGTTTGCCTAATGAACCATAGCACCGTGAGTTTTATCATTTGAGTGGCGACACGTCCCATTTTAAACCACGGGCAGCCCACTTTGCGTGTCGAACTCTGCGACGTGTCTCACCTTCACTTGGTAACTTCTGGAGGTGTGTGTACTCGGGTCTTTGGCGAGAGATGGACTCTGGCCAGCCGTTTGTCTCCACTATGGTCTTAAAATTTGGGGAAGATCTGAAATAGGGCTTTGGGGGCCTTGGGTTGGAGCTGGTGGAATTCTCTGGGGAGAAGCTGGGGCCGGTCAGGGCCTTCCACAGCAACAGGGACTGGGGCCCAGGAAGGAGCAGGGGAGGAGGGGGTGGTGGGGTGGGTGCCCAGGGGGCAGGGCGCTGGGGGAGGGCCACGAGCCGAGGGGCCTGGGATGGGGGACAGTGAGGTGCAGACTCACTGCGTCTCTCCGGGGCCAGAGAACAGTGAATGCGTGACCCACGTGCCCCTCTGACCCCTCTGACCCCGAGGGTCGGTCAGAGCCCCCATCTTCTCCAGAGACTGACCCTGAGGGCAAACAGCTGCTGTCTCAGGGCTGAGACCCCCGACACTCCCCGAACGGCCCCCCCTTCAGAAGGAGACGCGGTGGGGGCAGCAGCTGTGATGCTTGCCCTGGAAGGTGGGCTGCCTGGCACAAGGACAAGCGGTAAGTAAGTCCCACGTGCCCCCGGCATGAAGCCCTGTTGTCCAGAAGGCCTGCCAGCCGGCGCCACACAACTCAACGAGAATGGGAAGTCACAGATGGGGCCACGGTTTCTGCCCCTGGGAGACCCCTGAAGGGCATCGGGAACCCCCACTGGGAGGACTGGGCGGGTGGGTTTGCAGGAGTCGGCATCTGTCTGGGTGAGCCAGGCCAGCCCCAGGGTCCTGTCCCTGGATAGCCCAGGCCTTCCACCCAGAGTTAGGGAGCAGCTAGGTGCGTACAGGTGCAGCCAGTATGGGGGTGTTGGTCTATCAGGGAGGGGCCGGTGTTGGGGTGTACCTGGTGCTGGGTGTAGCTGGGCACTGAGTCTGATGGGGGATGGGGACAGGCAGGACTGGTTCCGGCTTCCCTCCCAGGGCCCTGCAATGTTCCCTGCAATCATTAAGCACCGTCCTGCCCAGAGACGGCCTCTTGGAGCCCCTGGGAGAGCCCCGTGGGGCACGTGCGGCCTCTCAGCTCCCGCCCCGGAGCAACAAGGCTGCGCCGGACAACATAGGAACAGACAGGTGTGGCCGTGTGCCAATAAAACTTTATTTATAAAAACAGGCACAGGGCCGTGGGTCATCGTTGGTTGACCCCTGCCTCAGAGCAATGAGAGAAGGAGCCTGGCCCCGGGAGAGATGCTAGAACAGGGGTCCCGACCCTGGACGACCCGGCAGCTGGGACTCCGGTGGATGAGCCGCGCTCTGTCCCATTTGATCCGCCCTGTGCTGGATGGAAGCAGCACAATCTTCTTGTCTCCCCTGCCTGGGGCGTCGTAGGGTCCACTATGGCCATGTCTCCTGTCTCCCCCTCTCCCCAGCCTCAGGGAGGGTGCTGCTCTGCGTTCTGGGTTTTGCCTTAGATGTGACCAGAAGACGGAAGAGGCCCAGTTCTGCCTGGAGCGGACGGGAGCTCGGCCGCCCTCTGAGTTCATGGGGGTCATTCTGCGAGGAGGGGATGGACAGGGGGCTTCAGCACATGCAGACTTGGCCGTCCCGGCGGCCTGGACAGGAATACCGTAGAAAAGGCACGTGATTTGGAGGTGGAGCTGGCTTCAGGGTCTGTGCTCCTGGTGGGGTGGCCAGTCCCTGGCCTCTGCCTCCGGAGTGCACAGGGAGGCCCCCGCTGTCTCAGGGACATGGCCTGTGGGCAGCCCAGGCGAGGTCCCAGCTGGGGGTGGCGCAGGGCACGGCCAGGGCCCTTTGGGGGCCCAGTGGCGTGGTAGGCAGGGAGGGGCCTGAGTCCTGGCACCCGGCCCAGCGGGTGAGCCCGACACCTTCCCCAGGTCCTCAGGGTCTGCGTCAGGGAAGGGGTGTGGGGTGGGGCTGGGGGTCAGTGCCGCCCGTGCTTGATCCAGTTTCTGATGGTCCACTTCTGCCCCGAACACCTCTGCACCACCAGCCGCAGCCCGAAGTTGGCGTCTTTGGACATTTCCACCTCCAGGCACCTGCCGGTGTCCCGGCTCACGATGGGACCACTCTGTGGGGAGGGGGACCAGGTCAGCATGGACGCCCAGGGCTCCCGCCCTGACAGCAGCTTGCAGTGAGGCTGATGACAAGCCCCATGCAGGTCACTGCTCGGCCAGCCGGGACTCAGGGACTGCCTGTCCCCTCCTGGCCTCTGGCCCCTCCTGGCCTCGGTCCTCAGGCATCTCCACCCTCTCAGCCATGCCACCTGCCTACCTTGCTCCTGGGGTCTGAGGAGTGACTGACACAATGGAGACAGTGCCCCTAAGATGAAGGGCTCCCCCGGGTGCCTCCCACCTCCTGTCATATCTGATTTGCCCATCAGTCACCCCTGCAGGCCCGCTGGTCCCCCAGACATCAAGGACCCTGGCCCAAGCCTGAGGACCCCAGGACTGTACGCTGTATGTCCCCAATCTTCTCCAAACAGATCCTTCTTGCTGTCCCGACCCCAACCCTGGCCTCCTGGGACCTCTGACCCTTACTGGCTGTGCCTGAAACCATGACCCCTCATTCCTGCAGCCTCTTCTGCAACGAGAAGCCCCCCCGCCCAGACCCCAGTGCTGAGGGCAGGGTCACCTGACGGTGTTTATTTGTCACGGGTCTGCTCTTTGGGACCGATGGCAGAGAACGTGTGTGGGGATAAAGTTGGGGGACGGAGACAGGGATGTCTCCCGGAAGACGCCCGCCGCCCAGGGCGGGGAGAGGGGACGCTGGAAGCAGCTCCCCGGGCCTCAGGGTCCCAAGAGCCTTGCAACGGAGTACATGGGCAGAGAGTTCTGCAGAAGCAGGTCAGACCCGCCGAGCCCTCGCCCCAGAACCCGGCAGTGCGACCTCAGGGTCTGTGCAGCCGTGACCGGATAGGATGAGGTCACACTGGAGCAGGTGACCCTCGGCCCACGCTGGTGTCCCTGCCAGGAGAGATGTTCAGAGGCAGAGACGGGGACAGCAGGTGGTGGGAGGAGGAAGAGGGCCTAGGGAGGCAGGAAGGCCCCCCCGAGCCCCCCGAGCCCGCGGCAGGAGCCCCGCCCTGCAGACAGCTGGTCTCAGACTTCCCGCCCCATGAGGACAATGAGAGCCGCGTGTCTGCGGCCATTCGCTGCAGGAGCCCGGGGAGGCCGCGGGGATTTAGGACACAGGTGGGTCCTAGGGAGAGGGGTCAGGGGCTGCTCGGGGCTGGGGGGAGATGGGGTTCCAGGCGAGGTCACGAGAGGACGTGTCCTTGGCTAACCCGGGTGGACCCACAGGAAGCCACACCGTGGAGGATGAGCTGGTGGGGAGGCAACCTCCAGACGCCCAGAGAAGGGTGTGTGGGTGGATGCGGTGCAGGGGAGCCGAGGAGGAGGGAGGGCAGGAAGGGCTGTGGAGGGGGCCACCCGGAGGAAGGCCGGCTGGACCCTGCTCACAGGCCCACAACAAGCAGGGGCTGGGAGGCGCTGGCTGCAGCCTGGGATCCGCGTGCTGCCGTTCACACCCAGGCTGCTCCCACCAGCACGGGGGCCGCCTGTGACTCCCCAGCCTGAAGGTTTGTTCTCGGGGCTGGAACTTCTAACCCAGCGTCCCAGCAGCCCCAGGGCCCGGGGCAGGGGCTGGTTCCGGCAGAGCTCGGCCAGCCGCCGCGGCGAGGCCGTCTGGGTGCCGGTCCCCCCCGTCCCCTCCATCTACACCCCCTCCCCAGGAGGCCCGAGGACGCGGAGTGTGGGGGCAGTCGCAGTGCTGTGACCAGACCAGCGGGTCCCCCCCCCACGGGCTGGCCCGGGGACCCCGGGGCCCCAGCAGCCCCGCTGACCTGGGTGAAGTCCCACAGCCGCTGCGCAGGCCGGGCCACGTCTTCACACTTCTTCAGGGCGGGCGCGCGGGTCCTGCCCTCATCCACCAGACACTTGGAGTCGGGCAGGAAGGCGGTGGAGCCCAGGGGGCCCAGCTGCAGCAATCCCTCTGTGCTGTACCTCACCAGCTGAGAGGGGGCCGTGGACGGGCGTCAGGGAACCGAGGGTGGGCACCGCCCGGCCCCGCCAGCCCACGTGCCAGAGCTTCCCAGGGAGGGCCAGGCCTGGGGGGAGGGGGGCGCACAGAGAGCCCCCCCCGGGGATGCCCTCCAGACTGCCCCACGCCCCTGGCCCCACTCCTCCCCCCGAGACCCCCCAGCAGGACCGCCTTAGACTCCTTTCCACAACTCTGCTCCCACCCCAGCTCCTGGAGCCTGGCCTCTCGGCCCAGAGCAGCAGAATCTCACTCACACACGCCCTTAGGGTGCCCCATCTGCCCTCGAACAACCACAAGGTGAACAGTTATTTCCACACGGAGAGCAACCCCAAGTTCACGCATGCCTTGATCCTACTTCACGTTGTTTGCTCATGACCAGCCCTACAGAGTTCCTGCCATTCCCAGCTGTGTGGCTTTGGGCAAGTCACGCCACCTCTCTGTGCCCAGGATGCTCATCTGTAAGCAGGCGGTCCTGAGAGCACCTCCCTGGCGGTGAGGATCCAGGGGACACGATACAGAAGTGCTTAAAAGTAGCACAGACTCCATAAAGAAGCAGGTGTCAGGTGTCAGGTGTCACGGTACGTCTCTCCTCTCTGTGCCCTGCCCTCCTTTCCCCTCCTGTGCGAGCGCGTGCACACACACCGCCCCAATGCACTCGCAGCTCCCAGTGGAGAAGGCTGGGTTTTCCCACACAATCCTCCCACCCTGCTCGCTCCGGGACAGTGACCTGCACCCCCTGTGAAGGGTGAGGGTCTACAATCGCCCCTGGATCTCTCTGGGGAGCGTGGGAGCATCACGGACATGCCGCTGACTTCTGGGGCTGGGCGTACACGGTCGTGGTCCCTCTGGTTCTCCTGGGATGCCTGCTCTCAGAACTGGGCAGCCTGGGGAGAGGCCCCGTGGGGAGGGGGAGAGGCCCTCCTGAGCTGGTGGCCAGCACAAGCCCAGACTGCACACGTGTGAGCCACATCTAGAGAGGTCTTTCAGGCCACATGGTTTGTGGCGTCTCTTCTCACGCTGCAGGACTGGGGGAAACCTCAGTCGCCTGGTCCCTCCCGTGGCTGCTCGCTGGGTATGTTCAGAGAACCCAGCAGGACGCGGCCCCTCACAGGGGGTGCCAGCCAGAGAATTGTCCACGGAGTGTGACAAGCCCAGGAGACTGAATTTCCTCCTGGAGGCCACTAAGACACTGTCTCTCAATGGGAGGCCCAGCGGGGGTCTGGAGACAAGGCTTGTGGGAGGTGTGGGGGGGGCAGCCACACCCTCTGCTCCAGCGTCACAGGCTCGGCCCTCACGCCCGCCAGGCACTGCCGGGCGGGCCGTGTGGTCTCGGCAGCTTCTCAGTGCCCAGGGCTGGCACGGGTCCCTGCGGGTTTCCACTGGATGGGCATCTGTGAGTGAGGCTCAGACCCAGAGAGTGCTTAGAGGGGAGCCGAGGGTAATTTGGGGAAACCACTCTGTGGGGCTTAATTTAAATGACCCCAACACTCACTGAGAAGTGTTGCCTTTATCAGCAGGAGATTCACTGGGACCAGAGTCCTACCCCGAGCTCTCTGAAAACACACCTGTCCCTGCACCATCTGGTTCCATGGGCCTAGGGTCTAGACATCGGTATAGACATTTTTAAAGCCCCCATCACTGAGGAGCAGCTCAGCCAGTAAGAACCAGTGCTAACCCTTCTTCTAGGTAACACTTCTAGGTTCCGTCCACACGGTGGCAAATGCTTTCCCACATGATCCACTTTGGTCCACACGACAGCCCTGACAGGTACCATTACCGTGACATCTGATGGATGGGGACTGAGGCAAGCAACGGGACGCGAGCTGCCCAGGGCCTGTTTGGCACCAGAAGCCCTGCTCTTAGTCCACTGGGGGCGGGGGTCTCCCCGAGGGTCCCCACGCCACCCCCGAGAGCCCGCTCACAGCCCGCGCACCCCTACCTGGGAGGCCATGCCGTGGCAGGGATAGAGGATCACGCGGTCATCGTCCTCTGCTCCCTGGTCCAGGCAGTAGCCGCTGGCTTTGCTGTTTCTCACCTACAATCAGAAACCGAAGGAGAAACCCCAGTGTTGGGGGGTCCCTGAGGGCAGGGCAAGGCCAGCCCGTCCCCACTCAGGGGCAGAGGGGCCTGCTGGGCAGCCGGCGCCTCAGGAAGGTGTCAGCTGCGGGAATGGCTAGGCCAGCCAGGGCTGTCCACCCCGGGCACCCCTTCTGGCCTCGCGCTGAGCGCTAGCCCAGGGCCATGGGCACGCCTTCCTTCCACAAGGGAACAGCTGCAGCGCCGAGGGGAGGGAGGCCGCCCCCGCCACCAGCACAGACCAGGGTGACAGTGGTCGTGCACGTGAGGGCCGGGCAGACATGCGAGTCTCCGTGCAGCTGATGTGCCCGCCTGTGCGTGTTGTTTGCACTTACACGCATGCACGGCGGCTTCCGAACACGACTGCGTTTATGTGAGTGCATCAGCGCGTCCGTCTCAGGGGTTGGGTGCACCTGCCCACCTGACAGTTGGTCCTGACGACGGTGTCTGTGCGTCTCCGTGTGCACAGGCAGGCACCTTTGGCTTGTGTGCATGAGTGAGGCTCTATCGGTCACTCTCTGCGTGCACACGAGCAAAACTGTGCAAACGTATACTTTCAAGTCTGTGTGCGCTTGTCCTTATGTGTACAGACCCACGTACTCATATGGATCCTCGTGTGTGCGTGCGATTATATGTGCACGTTCGTGTATTTGTGCACACGTGTGTGCACGTGTCTCTGCATCTACTAGCGTGCGTTTCTGCGTGCACGTACGCGGGTGAGTCTGTGCTTCTCGTCTACTCGGCGCCAGGCACGTGCGAACGTGCCCGCGCACGCTGCTGGCTGAGCCCGTGAGCGCGCACGTGGGGACGGGTGAGGGTGCGGGCTGGGGGGGCCCCTCCCGGCGGAGGCGGTACCTCTCCGTACGTGAGGGTGTCGTTGTAGGTCCTCATCTCCGGGTACACGTTCTCCAGGTACCACTTGAAGCTGCGGCATTTCAGCCGCTGGCGCAGGGCCAGCCGCTCGGACACGTCCCCGAAGTCCACCCCTGGGTTCTGCGAGCGGGGAAGCGAGGCCGGAAGGGAGCTGGCGTTGCTGAGTCCCCACGACCCAGGTCTCTGCCCAAGGTGGGGGAGCCTCAGGACCCGGGCGCAGCCCCACCCCCCAGGGCGTGGCTAGGGGCGGCCTCCTCGGCTTCCTATCCCCCCAGACCCTTGGAGGCCTGGGTAGCTGTTCCGGATGGGAAGGGCCTGCTTCTCCAGCCAGCCTGCTCTGCCCCAGGCTGGACGGATGGCCCCTGACTGTGGGCTGGCTGTCCATACCCTGCACACTCCAAACAAAAGACCTGCCCTTGGCCCCCCGCCCTGGAAGGTGACCTCTAAGCCCTTGGAACATCCCGCCTGATTAGAGTGTGGTTTACCTGGGATCTGGGCTGGACAGTCTAGGCTGCAGGGTGATGTCTGGGGGGCTTGGGGCCGTGGTGGGGTATCTGCTTGACTTCTGCAGGCGCTAGAGACTAAGGTCAGCCCTGTGGGAGGCTGGCCATGTGTGTGTGGATGAGCCCCCAGGAGAAACTGAGGCTTGGGTGGGTGTCCCTGGTCGGCAGTGTCACATGGCATCACCGTGAGAGGTGATGATCACGCTGCTTATTGGGTACAGTGACTCTTTTTGGGGTGCTGTCTTTGGAACTAGGTAGTGTCAATGGCTGTACGGCTCTGTGGGTTTGCTCAGCGCCGGGGACGGCACACTTTAGAAAGGCCGAAGAGGTAGACTTTCTATCACGTGTACTGACCACAAAACCCAAGCAGACCCCACGCATGTCCTGTGGGCTGGCGGGCAATGAGCTGGGGCTGTCTGTCCGACTCCTGGGAGTCTGTATCCCTCACTGCAAGAACCTGTAACCCTGAGCACAACAGCTTTGCTGAGTTCTGGGTCCTTCTAGCCCAACACTGAACCTGAGGGTGGCCTTGGGGCCCCTGATGCTGCAGTGGGCACCAAGCTGTGTGTGTGTGAGCAGGTTTGAGCAAGTGCCTTCCCCTGGCCAGGGGGCCTGGGTGGCTCCACCATCGGCCACGGAAGGTGTGCTGCCCTTGGGAGCCCCTGTCCCTCATCCGCGTGGTGGGCATGTCCACAGAGAAGCTCCTCCCAGCCTTCACACGAGGATCAGGTGAGTCATGGGTGTGCGGGGCCCCTAGAGGTCCCTGAGAATGAGATGTGAGGGGGCATCTGCCAGGCTCTGGCTTGGACCTGGTGACCGCTCACAGACGCAGCCTGCAGGCCCATGAGGACAGTGCCCGGGTTCCCTTTCCAGTAGTAATGGGAACGTTTCTGGAATCCGTTCCCTTGGTGGACAATGAGGCTTTGTGAGAGACAGTGAGCCCTCCTTCTGTCTCTGATAAACGTGTGTGTGCATGCTTCCATGGCATTCCTCATCAGCTGGAAACTGCTGTGTGAGGAGCCCGTGGGGAAGGAGGGGGGCTTGAGCGGCCCCTGCTACCTCCTCAGAGGGGTCCTGTGAGCCAGCGGCCCAGCCTGGCACTCGGGCAGCATCACCCAAATGCTGGGCATGCCCTGCCAGGGTTTAGGAGGTGCAGAGAGAAATGCACGTAACAGACATGAGTGCTGTTTCTGTAACTTCTGTATGTGTTTGAAGCTCTCTGTGTTGACAGGTGAGCACGCGGACAGGGGCACACACATGTGCACAGGGTCTGACAGAATATCGAGCGCTTACTGTGAGCTGACGTAAAAATCATTTCCAGGATGGCTGCAGCCGGGGCCTGGAGCCTCGCACCCCCTGTGGCGGGGGAAGCAGCATGTGAGGGCTGGTTCTGGAGCAGGTGCAGGGAGGGGGGGAACCTGGCAGCCTCGACAGCGCCCCACGTAAGGGGCCGCCTCTCTCTGCCCTCATTATTGTTCTGGAGGCCGGAGAACAGGTCTTCTAAGTTCCCAAGAAAAGCCAGAATATGGGCTATTTAGGGGAAATTAATTGATCACAAAGTAAACAAAAAACACAAACAGCAACCCCTAACTAGGCTGTGGTTTGGTCAAAAATGCATGGACTAAAACCAAAGACACAGGGAGCACCCGGGTGTCCGCGGCGGGTGGAGGGGTAAACCAACTGCGGCCATCCACACCCTGGAACATGAGCTGGCCACGGAAAGGAAGAAGCATTGATACCCCACTACAACGTGGACAGACCTTGAGAACATGATGTTCAGCGAAGGAGCCAGACACAGTGGGGGAAACACTGCAGGATTCCGTTTATGGGAAGCGTCCAGAACAGGCTGGTGGTTGCTGAGGGCTGGGGGCAGGCGAACGGGAGTTAGCCGCTCATTGGGCACAGCGACTCTTTTTGGGGTGCTGTCTTTGGAACTAGGTAGTGTCAGTGGTTGTACGGCTCTGTGGGTTTGCTCAGCGCCGGGGACGGCACACTTTAGAAAGGCCGAAGTGGTAGACTTTCTATCATGTGTATCGACCACAAAACCCAAGCAGACCCCACGCATGTCCTGTGGGCTGGCAGGCAGTGAGCTGGGGCTGCCCCGCGCCCTAAACCGGCCGCGCGGTGGGCGCGCTGCTTTGCCAACACATTTCTGGGTGCGTTTCTAGGTGGGTGGGGTCGGCACAATGCGCAGCGAGTGGGGAAGAGCTGACCCTCACTTCATCGACAGCGCCTTTGGTGGATGGGAAAACACACCAAAAAGCGGGGGGCACCTAATTGGCTGGGCCCGCTTTCGGGGAGCCCTGTCCCAGACCAGCCCCACTCGGGGCAGGGGCAGGGGTGGCCCCAGGCTTCCCCCGGGGGTGCACCTTCGCCCTGGCCAGGCTCGGCCAGGCCCTCCGCGCCTCGGCCCCCACCCCGTCCCACCCAGCCCCGCCCTCTCCCGCCCCTGTCTCGGCGCCCCCCCCCTCCCCGTCCTCACCCCGCCCCCTCCCGTCTCGGCCCCGCCCCCCGTCTCGGCCCCGCCCTCCCCGTCTCGGCCCCGCCCCGCCCCTGCTGGCCCCCACTTACGGTCATGGGGATGTTCCAGGCCATGTACACATGGGACTTGAAGCTGTCCATCCACACCTCAGCTGCCCGCAGGGCGTTGCGCTTGGCATAGTAGTCGATGTCGTTGTTGTAGGGCTTCTTGGTACGCTCGATGTGGGCCACGCGGGAGCAGGGGAGCACCTCCATGCTGCCGCCGCACTGCCACACCTGGGGGCACCGAGGCTGCTGGGTGGCCCGCGCCCCTGCCCACAGCTTCCAGAGGGCGCCGGCCTGGGGCTTGTTCCAGGGAAGACGGCCCCACAGGAGCCGTGGCCTCGGGCTACGTGGTGCTGCCCCTTTGGGTTTCTTACCAAATTTCATCCCCCACCCCACCCCAGGGCCTGGCCCCAGGGACTTACACAACAGCAGCTGCCCCCAGCAGGCACAGACCTGCGATCCAATTTGAAAAGAGCACGCCACCCCGCCACACACCTTCATCCGGCACTTGCCTTACCACACAAACCCTGCTTCGAGCACCCCAAACACACGCTCTTGGGCTAAAGAGGCGTCTTAGAGCTGCGTCCTCGAAAACCCCGAAGACCCTCGCCCACGATCCCCTCTGACGCCTGCCCTGGTCTGTCTTGTCTCAGTGCACAGCCCGACCATCCTGACACCTTTCTGGGACTGCCATTCCTCACTACAGAGCCTCGTCCTCCTTCGGAGATGACAGCAGATCTCTGCCTCCTCCCTCATCCGACTTCGCCTTCAGGAAGCAGAGGAGGGAGGGGGAATCTCACAGCTGAGGATCAGGGGGCCCCTCCGGACACCACCCACAGCCGGAACAAGTCATGTCTGGGCAGGTCGGACGTCCTGCGTTGGGGGCGGGGGGAGAGGCTGTGGGTTCCTCATGGTCTGGTCTCAATTCCCAGAACGCAGCAGCCACCGTCTCCCGCTGCCGGGCTCCCAGCCCGCCCTGGACCACCCGTGTGCAGCTGGTGCACAGAGCCCAGGGGCAGCTCCTTCACCATGATGGTGCAGACCCTGCTCCGGGATGAGGGGCGTGGGCTGAAGTTTGCTTCTCCGTGCTGAGCACTGAGTGGCCTACCCTGTGTCCTGCTTCCAGAGCCTGGCGTGGGACGACGCGGGCGGGGGCTTCTGTGCAGCTAGCCCGGGGGGGGGGGCGGGTGTGGGGGGGAGACTTCCACCACTTCTGTTCACAAGACTCCGGCCGGACTGCCAGGAGGCTGGGAACGCAGGTGCACACGTGGTGAGCCAGGAATCTTCCAGAAGGCAAACACGGAGCGCAAGAGTGGGAGGCCTGCAGCCTTGCAGGGACAGCACCGTGCTTCCCGCACACCTCCTGCAGCTGCCACCAGTGGGTCTCTGGAGGGGCCGCCACGCCTCAGCTGCTGTCCCTGCCCGCCGGCCCTGAGCTCCCAGGGTTCCCCACCCTCACGGCCCCCTCTCCCTCTGCCCTCCCCACGCCCCCAGGGCCTGTGCACCTGCTCTTCCCTCTGGGGAAACACCCTGCCCTGATCTCTGCACCAGGCAGCCTACAAGCCTTTGCTCAGATGCCACCCCTTCGTGGAGCCCTCCTCACTCTCCCTTCTGAAGCTGCTGCCCCTTGGGCCTCCTCGCTGTGCTGGTCTGTCCATCCCACCAACGCGTGAGCTCCAGGACCACCGCCTGGCCCGCCGCACTCAGAACACAGCCCGCACACGCCGGTGCCCAGGAAACAGTTGTTCGATGAATGAATGAATTCCCTCTTAGGAATTTGTTAGCAGCTGCTAGCCCCGCGCTGCCCCACAGGACTTCCCACAGGACCTGGGCGGCCAATATGGTGGCCACTGCGCCCTTGAAATGTGGCTGGCGTGGCCTAGGAGCCGGCGTCTTTATTAGACGTTAATTAATTTGGAATTGATTTATGGAGCTGCGTGTGGCTAGTGTAGCCACAGGACAGGATGGCTAGAAAGGTCTTGCCGGATCTGGCTCAGTGGCTTCAAGCTTTAGTCACGTAAGGACAGCTCGTGGCTTCGTGGAGGAGTTCAGGACCCCTTCAGATCCCTGCCCTTTTCTGGGTTAAACTGGCCGCGGCGGGAGGGAAGGGTGCCGTGTGGCAGGGCACCGCGTGGCCCCGAGCCAGGACAGAGTGCACAGGAAGTGAACAGGTGAGCCAGCCCGGGGGTTCTGGGCATCAACCGCATGGGTAACTTCTGTGTGGGGCAGGAATGAGGCACGTGGAGGTGATGGTGCCACGGCTCCAGAGCCTGGCTCAAGTCGCATCACAGACCCCATGTTCCCGCCCCCCCACGGCTACAGGTGGCCGTGCCAGACAGTTCTGCCCAGTGAGATGAAAGCAGACGTCTCAGCGTGGGGCTTTCAGGAAAGCTACGATTATGGACATGAGGTCCGGAGGGGTGGCAGCCATCTTGTGGCCATGAGGCAACACAAGGTCTGTACCCTAAGGACTGCCGATGGAAAGTTAGGGCCTACCAGCCATATGCTTTGTGAGAGGCCTGGATCCCCCTCTGGTCCAGCCTCCCTTAGTGGGTTTTCCGTCACGGCGTTCTGAATGGAGGAAGCTAGACTAGGAAGTGGTGCTGGGACCTGCAGTGGCTAACTGCGTTCTTGTTACCAAGGAACCGAGCGGTCACGAGACAGGCCCAAGGTCACACCGCGGGTTCATGGGGGGAGGGGCAGGGAGCCAGAACTATTGTGGGACCCCCCAAAGCTGCCTCTTCACCCAGAGTGGGGGAGCAGAGTCGCAGGGCCTGAATGTGCTGTCACACCCAGAATGTGCATCTCCACCACTAATCATCTCAATCAGCTTGGTTAATTGGCACCCAAACAGAAACAGCAAACACGAAGGGGAGGACCAGGTGTCAGTCTGCAGGCAGCTGCTGAGGGAGGGAGCTCGGGGGCAGGGGATCCCTGGGCCTCCCCAGAGCAGAGCTCCTCGGACGTCGGAGCCAGGGTCTGAAGGTGGGTTCCAGAGCTGTCCTCTGCCCTTGCAGGCGAGACCTACTGCTTAAAAACCCGGGAACTGTGACGAGTCAGCCCAGGTGCCAGGCAGTGGCTCCTCCAGGTCAGACCGCGCTTGTGGCCTCCGCAGGGCAGTGTGAGCCCGCAGGGCTGGGACCGAGTGCCGCAGGGGCCTGGCTGGCGCATCGGGGCACACACAACACCCGAAGAGGGTGCCCTGCCTCTCGCTTGCTTCTCCGTTCTCTCTGCACCCCTGCACGACCAAAATGGCACTTTGGTGGAGTGCCCGCTGTTCAAAGGCCAGCGCTTCCTGCGCCGGTGCAGGAGAGGGAGAATAGGCACCACGGCATGGCTCCGCCCTCGTATGCAGGGCACCCAGAGGATGTGCCCTCCATCATCCTTACAGAGCCGCTTTCTGGACTCTGACTTCATTTAATGTGTAGCTCGGCCGCCCCGCAGCCAGGAGCGGGGCACCCGCCCTGAGCTGACCCGAGAACGGGCACCTCGGCCAAGTGCACAGAGCGGGGCCTCCGGAGAGCCGTCAGAGAGGCTGGGACAGGAGCCCCCAAACGTTGCTGGTCATCAGAATCTTTGGGAGGAATTTAGAATCCTGTGGTCCAGGCCTCAGCCCCGATCGACTACATCATGCACACCCACACTCACCCCTCCCGGTCCTTCCTGTGTCTGTCTCAGCCCTCCCGCCCTGGAGAGTGGACACTCGGGAGCCCAGGGCCCAGCGCACCGGCCTCCTGGAACAGAGGCAACCCCATGTATCAGCACGGGGAGGCCCGAGTTAGGAGGCCGGGGCCTCCTCAGAGACCCGTGACTCAAGGCCTTCCGAGTTGGCCCTGCGCAGCATCGCTGTGGTCTCAGCAGGGGATGGAGGGGTAGGGGTCCGGACGCCCACTCCCCTGACTCACAGTTGACCCTGTAGGCCTCACCATCTCTCTGGGAAGACCCGGTTGGAAACATTGGTTGCAGGCAACCAGCTCTGGCCAAACTGAGCTCCTGAGCGTTCTGCGGGAGGGGGTCCATGGGAGGACTGGTCGGTGTTGAAGCTGGAGAGGGGCAGAGCGTGTGCTACAGGTCCTGGGTACTCAGAGCAGCCTGGGCCTGCGGGCGGTGCGGACGGTCAGGGGCCCGGCGCTCCTCTGTCAGATTCTGCATTGTGACCTTGCAGAGAGCAGTGGGGAGGGGACACTGCATGGGCCAAGCTCCCATTCACTTCCCAGCCCCCCTCGGCTTGGGCCACAAAACCAGGCCAGCCCAGCAGCCCTGGAAATGCAGGGACAAGCTGGGCTGTGGGTCTGGGCCGGGGACACCTGTCCTAAGGATTATTCAGGAGGGAAGGCTGCCCCAGCGGGGGTGTGGAGAAGAGGGGGTGGATTCTGGAGCGCTCAGCCGCACACACATGGCCATGACGCCACGACAGGCTCGTTCAGAGGGGCCGGTCCTGGGTTCCTGCGTTGCATGGACAGGGCAGGCGGGGTGGGGGGACCATGCTGTGTCTGTAGTTCCACTGTCTGCAGAGAGTCAGGGCTCAGGAGGGAAGATGGGAGCTGGGCCTGGACACTAACCACGTTTTTTAATATCTGTATCTGATGCTTTGACATCTGGGGCCTCGCTGACCCTGGAGGGGCGGCCCCTCCTGGGGCCAGCAACCCACCCAAGGGGCTCCTTCTGAGTGCAAACCACCCAGCCCCCTCCACCCCTGCCTCCGACCCTGAGCAACCCTGCTGGCTTCCCAAATGTCCTGCATGGCCTGGCGTGCCCCTCCTCTGGGCCCCTGGACACCCCACGTGGCCTGGTGTGCCCCTCCTCTGGGCCCCAAGGAACGAGCTTGGTGGTGGCCAAGCCCTGACCTGCGGGCCCACCACACCTGAATAACAGCAGGGCTGAGAGCTGCCTGGGGACCCAACCCGACCCGCAGGGCCTTGGGCCCCATTCCCTTTGTGGCCACTTCACAGAGGCGCCCCTACTATTATCCTACAGCTGTGGTGGAGGGAGCTCCTGGCCTGGGCAAAATCAGAGTGTGCTCTTTGAGGGTGAGGAAGTCGACAGCCAGGAGCTGTCCACGGGTGTGAACGAGCTCGTCTGCATCCTCCTTATGCGCTCTGGTCCAGCCCACAGAAATCGCACTTGGGAGGAAATGCTGCACAAAGGCCTGGGATTTGTAGGCCGAGGGGGCGTGGGCCTGGTGCCTTCCCAGCCACTGTGGCAGAACAGAAGTAGTGAGGGTTCACCCG